ATCCCAGCGAGGGATCTCACTAGCCCCAGGGAACTGCTGACGCCAAGCGTCCGTCAGGCGGCCAAAGCAGCGCTGGGTGGCGTGGGCACACCCACACTGCTCACCCGCGCGGTCGCCGGAACGAAGAACGTAGGTGCAGGGACCAGTACCCCCACCCCTCTGACGCCCAGCGTACCACTCACGAAGCTGCTGAGGCGAAGGGATGTCCCGCGAGCGCTGCTGCTGCTGCCGGTGCGAGCGCTGGCCATCACCACCGCCGCTACGCTGCTGGGTACCACCCCGACCAGCTCCACCTCCACCACCACTACTGCCTCCTCCGCTGCCGCCTCCACTGCCTCCACCTCCGCCGCCTCCACCTCCGCCGCTACCTCCACCACCACCGCTGGCACCACCACCACCGTCTCCGCCGCTGCTGCCGCCACCACCACCACCACCCCCGCCACTAGCCCCGCCGCCACCCCCACTCCCTCCGCCGCCACCGCCGCCACCGCCACCGCCCCCTCCAGCTCCACCCGCGCCCTTGCCCCCTTTGCCCTTGCTGGAGCGACGTCTCCCACTAGGGGCAGACGCCGCGCCGACCGACTCAAGACCAAGCAGGTCGGCAGCAGCAGCAGAGGCAACAGAGGGCAGCAAGGGGGAAGGAGAGCACCCCTCAAAAATGGGGGTGCGAGGGTCACCACGAGAAGCACCTACAGCGACTATGCTCTTCTCCGCTGCAAGGAGGGCCTTCTCGAGGAGGTCGACGGTGAGAGTGGTGGGACAAACTGCGAGAAAGTGGTCCCTGACGACGCGAAGGGAGTCAGGGAGGCGTGCGACTACGTAGTAGAGAGCGATGTACATGGGGGGGGGGTTCTTAGCGCAGAACTCAGCAGGAAGGGCGGCGCGGTAGCGAGTGTCACTAGTGCGGAGGTGCGTAATGAGGTCAGCGACAGTGGGAAAGGCAGAGAGGTCAGGAAAGAGGTAGGGAAGCATGAGACGGCTCAGTGCAGCAGTGGCAGGGGGGAGTAGCGCGCAACTACAGCGTCGTACAAGGTCTGAGCACTCTTGTACTGACTAAAGTGCGCACGCTCAGAGGTAGGGAGGTGGCGACGCACAGCAAGACGTGCAGCAGCATCGCGGGTGGCCCACTTAGAGCGGACAGCGGGATCAGCATCAGCAGCAGGGGCAGGAGAGGCGCCAGAGGTGAGGTCAAAGAGAGAAAGGTCGTCAGCCCTGTCGCACTGTAAGAACAGCTGCAGGTCGTCTAACCAGACCTCAAAATCAATGGCGCGACCCTCAGCGTCAAAAGCTAGGACACTAGGGGTAGCCATGGTGACGACAGCGACGCAGTGCAAGCAGTGGGGAAAGAGCTCGCAGTGTCAGTGGGACAGTGCTCACCAGGCAGGGCAGGTCGTGCAGTCAGCAGAAAGGCGGCTCAGCGACCGGGCGGCTCGGGTGCACAGCTGCTCGGCTCCCGGGCGGCTCGGCGGCTGGGCGGCTCGGGCGCAGGGCGGCTCGGCTCCCGGGCGGCTCGGCGGCTGGGCAGCTAGGGTGCAGGGCGGCTCGGCTCCCAGGCGGCTCGGCGGCTCGGCGGCTCGGGTGCAGGGCGGCTCGGCTCCCGGGCGGCTCGGCGGCAGGGCGGCTCGGGTCCCGGGCGGCTCGGCTGCTGGGGCGGCTCGGCCGGGAGATGCAGCGTCGGGCCGGCAGGTGCAGCGTCGGGCCGGCAGGTGCAGCGGAGGGCCGGCAGGTGCAAGTGGCGGGCCGGTAGGTGCAGCGGCGGGCCGGCAGGAGCAGCGGCGGGCCGGCAGGGTGCAGCGGCGGGCCGGGAGGAGCAGCGACGGGCCGGCAGGGTGCAGCGGCGGGCCGGTAGGTGCAGCGGCGGGCCGGCAGGAGCAGCGGCGGGCCGGCAGGGTGCAGCGGCGGGCCGGGAGGAGCAGCGACGGGCCGGCAGGGTGCAGCGGCGGGCCGTAGAGTGCAGCGGCGGGGCCGTCGGCAGCAGAGGCGGGGCCGCGTCAGAGGAGGCGGCGTGGCCGCGTCAGGGGAGGCGGCGGGGCCGCGTCAATGGAGGCGGCGGGGCCGCGTCAGGGGAGGCGGCGGAGTCGCGTCAGGGGAGGCGGCGGGGCCTCGTCAGGGGAGGCGGCGGGGCCGCGTCAGGGAAGGCGGCGGGGCCGCGTCAAGGGAGGCGGCGGGGCCGCGTCAAGGGAGGCGGCAGGGCCGCGTCAGGGGAGGCGGCGGGGCCGCGTCAGGGGAGGCGGCGAGGCCGCGTCAAGGGAGGCGGCTGGGCCGCGTCAGGGGAGGCGGCAAAGCCGCGTCAGAGGAGGCGGCGGGGCCGCGAGTGAAGAGGCGACCCGAGGGGTCGCTTAAAAAAAAGGGCGCGCCTCGGGGCGCGCGTCGGTGGGCCCAGACAAAGGTCCTAAGGTAGGACCCGCTCTATACCATGTGAGAATAGGAAAACAGGAATGAATGAACTATGAATGAAAGCAGTACAAATGTGAAACCCTAACTGGGTTGTACCCCCTATGGGATACCCCACTACAGCCTACACAGCAGTATAAGCTATAGATATGTTCTGACAGCTCGTAGTCGCGCTGAGCGGCTATGTGCAGCAGCACCCGAAGAGTGGTCATCTTCGGGGTGGGAGAGATGGTCTGAAAGTAGTCAACTCCCTGCCGCTGACTGAAGCGTCGAGCCACGTAACGCGCCTTGAAGACAGGCGGAGAACCCGGCGGCCGCTTCACCCTGAAAATCCACATGCCACTGACGATGTTCGCCCCAGGTGGGGGAACCTCGTCGACGTAGGTGCCTGTGGACTTCCAGGAAGCCATCTCTGCGTCCATGGCTGACTGCCACTGAGAGTAGTAGGGACCCTCGATCGCCTCAGCGTAGGATTGAGGAGTCGGGATGTCTGCTGCAACCAGGTCTCCCTTAGGGGCAATCAGCGTGGACACGAGATGAGGCAAAGCAGCAGCAAAACACTGGAACTCCTCCTGTCTGTCCTCAAGGACGTCCGTGCTAAGAGCACACTCACCCCCGACGGACGGAGGACAGACAGACTCGGACTCAGCAACAGGACTAGTAGCGAAGTCCAGACGACAGCGAGCAGCAAAGTCGACAAGCTCAGCAACAAGGGCTGACGCAGCAGTGGACTTAAAGGAAGGGTCAGTGACAACAGTAGCCAGGAGACGCGTGGCAGTAGGACTGGAAGCACGAAGAGAGTCAAACTCCGAGTCAGCAAGAACAGGAAGAGAGGACTCTGGAGGAGACGGCAACGGGACACGCAGAGGAGCAGAGGAAGGACGTAGTGCCATCTGGTGTGTGCCCGGGACCACAGGAGGACGCGGACGCGGAGCACGACGACTAGAGCGAGCAGCACGAGCAGGCGAGGTAGGACGAGACGCAGGCTCACGATGCTCAGCAAGACCTCCAGTAGGACTAGTGTAGGGAGAAGGAGCAGGTAGGGGGGAGGCGGGCTATAACTGTGACTATGACTGGACAGGCTGTGGACACTCTAAGGGAGGAGCAGGACCAGTAGAGGGCGGGAGACCAAGAACCTGCTCATGGAGCGGAACGAAATACGGCCGCGGCCGCGCAGCGCCTTCAGACCCAGTAGGGCCAGCACCAGTACTCCCAGCGGCAGCACCAGCGCCAGTAGCACCTCCACCTCCAACAGCGCCAACTCCAGCACCCTCAGATGCACCAGCGCCAGCAGAACAACCAGAGCTAACACCCCCAGCACCTCCAACTGCAGCAGCTCGAGCAGCACCAATCCCAGTTGGACCGGTAGCTCCAGTACCGCCAGTAGCTCCAGCAATACCTCCAGCAGGACCAACTCCAGCAGCCCTAGCAGTACCCCCAGTCCCAGCAGCTCCAGCACCGCCAGTACTAGTACCACCGGGACCAGCAGCAACAGTAGTACCTCCAGCTCCAGCAGCACGGCTCCAGCGCCAGGCAAACCACTCGCGCAGCTCCTGCGGAGAGAGTGGCTCCCGCCTCGACGAAGCACCGCGAGAGGCCACACGAGCAGACCCAGCACCCCCAGGCTCAGCACCCCTAGGCTCCGCACCCCGAGGCTCAGCACCCCCAGGCTCAGCACCCACACGCATAGCACCCTTAGGCTCCGCACCCCTAGACTCAGCACCCCCAGGCTCCGCACCCTCAGGCTCAGCACCTCCAGACCCGGCACCCGCAGGCACAGCACCTCTAGCAGCGCCAGAATCAACAGCTACCTCGACAGGCTCGATTGCGTCTACCTGGGACACACCTGACAGGGCAGGACTATGAGGGGGGAGGGGGTCTACCGGGGGAGGACCTGGCGCAAGGAAGAACGGCGGCGGGGGGAGAGGCGCAGTGCGGTCAGGGAAGAGACGGTAGTAAGGCACCGACTCGTCAAAGGTGACGTCCTGGGAGGACAAAACACGGCGCGAGGTGGGGTGGTAAAACTGCCACCCAAGCGCGTCAAGGGGGAAGCCAAGGAAGACGCAAGGAACAGCACGGGGGGACAGCTTGTCCGCAGACAAGTCGCGGACAAACGCTTGAGATCCCCAGACCCGAAACGCAGACGCATCGCCAACCTTCCCCGTCCACCGCAAGGTGGGGGAGGTCTCTAGCAAGGAGACCCGGGGCTGAAGGTTGAGCTGATGCGCTGCGTACTGAACTGCAAACGGCCACAGAAAATGGGGGGCAGCCGCATGGATCATGGACGTACGAGCAACGTCCATGACAATGCCAATGCGGCGCTCAGCAATCCCATATTGCTGTGGAGAGGCCGGAAGCGTGAAGGTCTGGCGGATGCCTTGTGCACGACAGAAGGCTCCCAGACGGGCAGAGGGAAACTCCCCACCTCTCTCAGAGTGCAGACGCAGAACAGGAAAGTCCGAGCCCAAACTCTCTCTGAGCTGGAGACGAGCTGCGCGGATCCAGTCCATCAACACCTCAGTGACGTCACCCTTGCTGCGCAAGGGGAACACCGTGGTGTAACGTGAATAGTCGTCAACCACCAACAGGATGTAACGCTCGTGACCCTAGCCACGGACGCGGGCGGGGCCCCACACGTCCATGTGAAGAGTCTGCAGCGGAGCCTCTATCGGAGGAAACTCGGAGGAGTGAGGGGCGGCGCGCTGCCGCCCCTCGATGTAGGGAACACAGGTAGGGGAAGGCACCAGAGGGAGGAGAGGGAGGGACCGAGGGAGACCAGAGACAAGGACACCGGAGGCCATGCCTTGGAGACGAGGCAGGGAGGGGTGACCAAGGCGGTGGTGCCAAAGGAGAGTGTGGTGGGACAGGAGACCACACGAGCAGGGAGCAAACTCAGAACCAGACCTGGACGCTGCAGTAAGCACCTGACTCGACGCAGCTACCTGACCAGACTCAGCAACCGGAGGAGACTCAGTAGTCAGTGTGTACAGGCTCGACCCCGGTCGACGGGTAAACGTGGCCAAGTGTCGGCCCGTTCGAGCACAAGTGCAGTGGGTCACCCGTTATTCGTAGGAGTGAACTGGTCAACCCCCCCATCTTGTAGATCAGCACCACTCACCAAGTTCGTAGAGAACGAGGGGAGGTAGAGACCTAACAGGGTGCCAGAGGGGGCTGCCGGACACGGTAAGATAGTGGAGAAGCGAGCAAGGACAGGACCCCCAGAGGGGTCCGCCAGGGAGACCGCAACCGGCCGACTAAGCGGCGTAAGCGTGGTGCAGTCTCGAAAGAAGGAGCGGGAAGCACCCGAGTCAAGGGTGAAGGTGTGTAAGGCCTGAGCCGACGTGGTACTTGAGAGAGCAGACTCACCAACACCTGGGGCAGCAGACGCACTAGCACCTAGAGCAGCAGCCTCACCAGCACCTAGAGCAGCAGCCTCAATGCCCGGGTCTGGCGGAACAGACAGGTAACAGTCACCCTTATCACTAGTTGACACAGCATACATGGCAGCAAGAAAAGCATCATAATCAAGATCAAAGATAGCAACCCCCGCCCTAGACAGCTCTCCCCAGCGAGGGATCTAAGTGGCGTCAGGGAACTAGTGACGCCACGCGTCCGTCAGGCGGCCGAAGCAGCGCTGGGTGGAGTGCGGGCCCCCGCACTGCTCACCACCGCGGTCGCCGGTACGGAGGACGTAGGTGCAGGGACCAGTAAGCCCACCTCGCTGACGCCCAGCGTACCACTCACGAAGCTGCTGGGGGGACGAGGTCTCACGACTGTGCTGCTGCTGATGGCGCGGACCACCACCGGAACCACTCCTCCGCGCAAAGCCGCGACCAGCTCCACCGCTGCCGCCGCCGCCGCCTCCGCCACCTCCGGCGCCTCTGCTCCCTCCGCCATCGCCGCTGCCTCCTCCGCCTCCACTGCTGCCACCGACACCTCCACCCCCGCCACCACTCCCACCACCACCCCCACCCCCTCCACTGCCTCCACCACCACCTCCACCCCCCCCGCCAGCCCCTCCAGCGCCCTTGCCCCCCTTGCCCTTGCCGGTGCGGCATCTCCCGCTAGGGGCAGACGCAGCGCCGACCGGCTCGAAGCCAACGAGGTCGGCCGCAGCAGCAGAAGCAACAGAGGGCAAGATTGGGGAGGGGGAACACCCCTCAAAGACTGGGGTGCGAGGGTCACCACGAGAGGCTCCTACAGCGACTATGCTCTTCTCTGCTGCTAGGAGGCGCTCCTTGAGGAGGTCAACGGTGAGTGTGGTGGGGCAAACTGAGAGGAAGTGGTCCCTGACTAGGGGAAGGGAGTCAGGGAGCTGGGTGACTATGTAGTAGAGGGTGATGTACATGGGGGGGGGGGGTTCTTGGCACAGAACTCAGCAGAAGCGCAGCGCGGTAGCGAGTGTCACTAGTGCAAAGGTGTGTAATAAGGTCAGCGACTGTGGGAAAGGCAGCAAGGTTAGGGAAGAGGTACGGTAGCATGAGGCGGCTAAGAGCAGCAATGGCAGGGGAAGAGTAGCGCGCAACTACAGCGTCGTACAAGGTCTTAGCACTCTTGTACTGACAAAAGTGCGCATGCTCAGTGGTCGGTAAGTGGCGACGCACAGCAAGACGGGCAGCAGCATCGCGTGTGGCCCACTGTGAGCAAACAGTGCTATCAGCATCAGTAGGCGGGGCAGGAGAGGCACCAGAGGTGAGATCGAACAGGGAGAGTTCGTCTGCCCTATCGCACTGTAGGAACAGCTGGAGGTCATCGACCCAGACCTCAAAGTCAACAGCACGACCCTCAGCATCAGGACACCGTGGGTAGCCTTTACAGCAGTGGTCTAGCAGGGAGTGATCTCATCAGTCCGAGTGCGTAAGGCCGGGGCGCGCCGGTAGGAACAGGGCTGTAACCGCGGTGGCAGCGGCTCGTCAGCGACAGTAGCGGCTCGACGGCAGGGCGGCTTGGCGGCTCGGCTGCTAGGCGGCTCGGCGGATCGGCTGCTAGGCGGCTCGGCGGCTCGGCGGCTTGGCTGCTCGGCGGCTCGGCGGCTCGGCTGCTGGGCGGCTCGGCGGCTAGGCGGCTCGGCTGCTGGGCAGCTCGGCGCCTCGGCTGATGGGCGGCTCGGCTGCTCGGCTGCTGGGTGGCTCGGCTGCTCGGCTGCTGGGCGGCTCAGCGGCGACGGGGCCGGTAGAGGCGGCGACGGGGCCGCGAAGGGCGACGACGGGGCCGCTAGAGGCGGCGACGGGGCCACGAAGAGCGGCGACGGGGCCGCTAGGGGCGGCGACGGGGCCGCGAAGGGCGGCGACGTGGCCGCGTGGGGCGGCGACGGGGCCGTGAAGGGGCCGCAAGGGGCCTAGAGGGGCGGCGACGGGTCCTAGAGGGGCGGCGTCAGGGCCGCCAAGGGGCCGCGAGGGGCCTAGAGGGGCGGCGACGGGGCCGCGAAGGGGCCATGAGGGGCCTAGAGGGGCGGCGACGGGGCCGCAAAGGACGGCGACGGGGCCGTAAGGGGTGGCGACGGGGCCGCTAAGGGTGGCGCGAGGGGCCTCTAGGAGGGCGCGACATGAGGGCGGCCTACGGGGCGCGCCTCGGGCAGGGAAAAAAAAAGGTAGAGTTCAGTGGTGGGCCCTGAGAAGCGTTCCCACGAGGGAACCTGCTCTATACCATGTGAAGAATGAGGAATGAATCATCTAGGAAAGGGGTGGGTACAGGTAGGAAAACCTAGTAATGTTGTACCCCATATTGTCTACCCCACTACAGCCTACACAGACTATAGCATATAAGTTTGACAGCGCCAACTTGAAGATTCGGCGCTCGAAATTGCGATGCTCACGGCGGAACGTGACTCCGCGCGTCATCAATCAACGGTGAACACTCCTTCGCCACCATGTCAGAGGTCCACTGGTGATTCCCGATTGATCCTAGGGAAGGGTTATAGGCATGCTTGCTTGGGAGGTTATGGGCGCACTAACCCGCTACTTAACAAGCCCTTTTATCCCAATGGTCTAGTGGTTGGGATTCTGACATGGTATCAGAGCAAAGGTCTCGGGTTCGAATCCTAGTGTGTGCACTTCGCGCATCCTAGTGCCGGGGGGTGTCAGAGGTCCACTGGTGATCCCCGATTGATCCTAGGGAAGGGTTACATGCATGTTGGCCTGGGGGGTTATGGGCGCACTGACCCTCTACTTAACAAGCCCTATTATCCCAATGGTCTAGTGGTTGGGATTCTGACACACCACACGCACCGACAAATGCATCTGCACAATCGGACGAGCCGATCGTCATTTCGTCCGGCACACCAACACAAAACAACAGCGTGGGACAGCGCTCAGGCGCAGCCAGTGATGGCACCGCCCAGCCGATGCCTGGCATGGGAGGAAACAGGGTCGCAACAAGCCCGCGGGAGCCTTGCGAAGCCCGTCGGCACGTGGAGTTCGCGGCGACAAGTGGCGAACAGGCCATTATGGCACCAATGCCACTCAAGCCGCATCACCCGCCCTTCTTCGACCCGAGCCAGCGTGGAGGTCCGACGATTCAATCGGGGGTCTTCACGATGAACGTCTTCTTCGACGAGAATTACGTCGAGTCGGACGCAACGAAGATTCGGTATGCCGTTTCGCTGCTAAGGGGCCCCACCATGGACTCGTGGCGAGTCATCGTGATGTCGCCACGCGCCTACGAGCCACCGTCGCAAGAGGAAGGGCCCACGGGTCCAGCTGTCACCTGGAGTTCATTCTGCGAGACCGCCCAATACAGCACGTGGGATGCGTGGTGCGCAGGGCTTTGGGCGCGCTTCGAGCCGATCGCGGCTTCTATTTCAGCGCGTCAGAGATCGCGCACTTGGCGGCAGCTCGAGTCGGTTCAAGACTATACGTGTGGTTTTCTCGCATTATGCGAGCAGGTCGGCTACATGCACGAAGCGGAGCAGGTGGACCGTTACATCTAAGGGCTGAAGCCGGACATCTCGCACGAAATTATGCTACGCGGGCTCTCGAACTTCAACGAGATTCTCGCACTCGCCAAGAAAAACGACATTTTACGCCGTCCGAGACCGGGGTCCTACTACAAACATCGTCCTCGGGGACCGACCAAGCACGCCACGGTACACGCCGTTGCGACGAACGCAGCTGCCGCACCGTTTAAGGGGCGCTGCTTTGCTTGCAATAGGCCGGGCCATCGCAAGAGTGAATGCCAAGAGAAGCTAAGGCGCCGCGAAGCAGAGCAGGGGAGGGAGTCTCCAAGGCAGGGAAACGCCAGCAGTCAGTAGGAATCGGGCCATATTTTGACGAGACTGCCTGCTCGCCCAACCCCACCGACCCTCACCAAGTCACAGTACCGATTCATACTATCGATCGGACTCGGACGAGTAAGGAGGGTATAGCGTCGGATTGCCCAGTACTGATCCACGGGAAAATACAGGGAGTAGCAGTGAAGATGTTTATCGACGGAGGAGCAAGTCACCGTTTAGTTAATACCGCAACCGCACGGAAACTGCAACTAACACTTAGCCGTTGTTTACCTGAGATAGACGCACGCTTAGTTGACGGCACGCCGCTGGCCATACGGGAGAAGGTGGAAAGAGTAAAAGTTCGCTGCGGGGGAAACTTCGGGTTTACACAGGAAATGCTCGCGACGACACTGGATGGGCACTACATTTTACTAGGACATGATTGGCTGCAACGACACAACCCGAGAATTGACTGGACGACAGGAAGCTGCACAATGCGAAGTAGTGGTAACTGGATCGAACTACCTCGCTGGCAGTCGCGTGAGTCTTCAACGGTCCATGTCAACGCCATCTCGATGAAACGGGCAGTCGCCGCTGGAGCTGACGTGTACGCAGTGGACATTGCCGTAGTAGAAGGAGCAGAGCAGCCGAGCGATTTTCAGAAACTGTTAGCAGCGGTACCGCTCGAACTACAGGAACTGTTGAAACGATACCCTGGATTTTTCCGGACGACTTACTATAAGGACTGCCACCTCAGCGGGCACATGACCACCGCATATAATTAGAACCGGGGGCACAGCCAACTGTAAAGCGACAATTCCGACTGACACAGCCAGAGCTCGATGAACAGAGGAAGCATTTCGATTACTTGTTAGAGAAAATATTCATCCGACCGAGCTCGTCACCGTTCGCCGCACCGATACTGTTCACACCGAAAAAAGACGGGGGTTTTCGCATGTGTATCGACTACAGAGCACTGAACAGGGTAACAGTCAAGTCGCGGTACCCCATTCCCTGCGCCGACGAACTAATCGACCAAATGGGAACGGCACGGGTTTTCTCGAAAATAGATTTACGGGGAGGTTACCATCAGATTAGGGTCAAACCATCGGAATGCGCCAAAACAGCTTTCAGGACTAGGTACAGGTTTGAGTACATTGTCATGCCATTCGGGCTGACCAACGCACCGGCGACTTTTTAGATGACCATGAACAAAGCGTTTAGGCCGCTCTTAAATAAGTGTGTGATAGTTTACCTCGACGACATCCTAGTTTACAGTCGGGAGAAGCAGCAGCACTTAGCAGATCTAGAAGCAGTATTTAAGGTTTTAGACAAGCACAGATTACTGACCAAGGGTTCCAAGTGCGAGTTCTTCCATGATAGGTTAGAATTTTTAGGGCACGTTATTTCGGAGGCTGGAGTTGAAATCGACCCAAAGAAGCAGGATACAGTAAAAGCGTGGCATCCCCCGACGAACATCACGGAGCTGCAGAGCTTTTTAGGGTTCGTTAATTATGTGCGTCGCTTGGTCCCCGATATGGCACGGTAAACTGCCCCGCTCACGGATTTACTGAGGAAGGGGGTCGCTTTTACGTGGGGGGAGAAAGAGCATGCTGCCTTCTCTGCCCTGAAAACTGTTCTCTGTTCACCGCCCGTCCTGCACATCGCTGACCCACACCGCCCATTCCAAGTAGTTACTGACGCAAGCGACACCGCCATCGGAGCCGTACTGCTACAGGACTTCGGCAACGGCCTACAGCCCATCGCATACGAGTCCCAAAAACGGCATCCGCCCGAGAAATATTTGTCAGAATGTTATTATCTAGCCTGTAGTGGGGTGCTCTATAGCGAGTACAACCCTGTTAGGGTTTGCTATATGTATCCCAACTGCTGCTAGTGAAACCCCTCTTCTTCATTCCTCATTAATTCACATGCTATCAGAGCATCTACGCTCCTGGCCTATGGGCCCACCTAACTGCTTCCGCTGCTACTCTGTGTGTTGCACGCCCCATGGCGTGCGGCGGACTTTTTTCTTCCCCCTCCTAGAGGCCCCTCTCACGGCCCCTCGCGCGACCCTTAGCGGCCCCGTCGCCACCCCTAGCGGCCCCGTCGCCGCCCTTCTCGGCCCCTCGAGGCCC